CATAGCTCCGAAATTTTTTAAATAACTGTTTCAGTAAATATTTTCAACTCTCTAAAAAAGTTTAATGCACCTTTCCTATGCAATGTCTCATTCATCAAATTGAAAAAAGGAAACTTCGCTTCTTCGAAACTTCAGGTGTTTTGTTAGCTGTTTACTATCAACACGAGAAATCCAAAAGAGGCCCTGACACGGAATATTCAGATAAGTAACATTCTGTTCTCTATACAATATATGTTTCTCTATCACTAGAGTGCAATTAAATTTTTTTTATTTATTATTTTTCATAAGATTCTAGCATTATACAATAGTTAGTAATAGTAGCAAGTCATGTGGTTCTTTTCTTCGTAACTATTCCGTAGAGACGCCACATTCCTTATCAGTAGTCCGTTCTTATCAGCAATTCACACCCTTCGGAGGCCCCCCTCTTCGTGCTTAGGAATTTCTTGAGAGGGAAAAAATGGGGATCTCTTGACCAACGATGAGTATAGATTGTGATTTTTTTGTAACTAAGATCCCCGACTTTTTTTTTTTTTTTTTTTTCAGGTCTCAAACTTAGAATTATGAGCAAATAAAAATACAGTGTGACGGAATTTGTTAAAGTTGTACTATAATAAATTACAACGGTTAAATTAATAAATTAATTTTATATTTAACTAATATTTAAGAAAAATAAACTGTGTAATTTTATTTTTGCTGAAATGCTCTCACACTGTGTATGGATTTATGATTTTGTCAATTACTGTTTTTATGAAATATACATGAATTTTTTGGGAACGGTAATATTTAATGTTACTTTAGTTAAAATATTATGTACATCTCTGTGATGATATATGTCTTTTCTAGTTAGGTCTCAAGATAACGGGCATACACATTACCATGTAGGAATTCATTCATTCATTCATTTATTTTTTTTTTTAAACTTAGCTAAAGTTTGCTTCTTAAAGACACTAATTTTTGCAGATGAACTCCTTAACTACACTCATGGACACAATCGTATTTTAGGATATTTTCTACTTCTTTTCCTTTTCTTTCTATAGGCCCTTTTTTTTTTTTTTTTTTTCCCCCTATTATTTTTGGGCCATTTATTTTAAATTTTATTTTGTCCCATCTTTTCTTTCTGGCCTTTTGAACTCGTACAAAATGTACGAAGTTCCTTTTTACTCTCCCTCAAATACGAAATTGCCCTCTTTCTATATACCTTTCCTTCGCACCTATGCTTGATTTTTCGCCCATCGGTGCAGAAAGACTTAGCGGGTGCAAAACAAGACATCTGTCTACTTTGTCGTCGTGTCGATTTGGGCGACTAGCGTCTACATCCCAAAACGGCAGCCTATGAGAGAGGCGATTCTATTATTTTCATCGGGGAGTAGGGAAGTTAGAATGGTTTTCTGAGGAACGCCAACGGCAGTGCACGATGTTTGCTTACATTAGGAAGTTCAGAAAATTGCAAAGGTGGATTGCCTTAGTTTCTGCGGTTACTTTCAGGGAAATATTAGGCAGTTTTTTTGGTTTGCTGATAGAGGGCAAATAGATAATTTACCTTTATAAATCCGCGTTTATCTATTTAAACTTCAGAAGATTTAAGATGAAGTGAATATATTTAACACAACAGAACGCAAGCTTAAGACTTGTAAATCTTTTAAAAAAACAATACATCGATAATTAAAAATATTATTTTATAGTTCATTATTAAAAAACTTTTATAAATGCATAGTTATCATATAATTAACAATTCATCCATGCATTATCTCATTATTTATTATAATTAGAAGAGAAGATATTTTTTACAGTAATGTTTAAAAATTTGCTGTTGTCTTTTAAAAGATTTACAAGTCTTAAGATTGTGTTCCTTTGTGTTAAATATATTCGCTTCATCTTAAATCTTCTGAAGTTTAAATAGATAAACGCGATTATAAAGGTAAATTGTCTATTTGCCCTCTATCAGCAAACCGAAAAAACTGCCTAATATTCCCTGTAAGTAACCGTAGAAACTAAGGCAATCCACCTTAGCAATTTTTTGAACTTCCAAATGTAAGCAAACATATAGTCAACTGCCGTTGCATTCCTCAGAAAACCATTCTAACTCCCCGATGAAAATAATAGAATCGCCTCTCTCATAGGCTGCCGTTTTGGGATGTAGACGCTAGTGAGACGCTCAAAAGAACGCATATCTGTTCAGAGAGAAAATGCGTTGTTTAGGTAGCAGTAGGTAGTAAATTACAATTAAGTGATTCTGAAAAGAGCTAAATAGAAAATTTCGTAAGTAATATGTATATTAATGTAAGGCTTCTAGGTTTATTTCATTATAAAGCATTAATATGTTGTTTTTTTTGTAGATACTCCTCAATTCTCTTTGAAACCTTCATAAAATGAATATTAAACGGCCTTTGTGTCTAATGCTGAATTTTCAACAGAAAGTTACCCTTAAATTGTTATTGAAAGTTAAATCGTTAATGAACAGTGACAAATGAAAGTACTTTTTTATATCCTGTTATAATTGCATGTCTTTGCTGTATAGCGTGTCTTTGAATATAACTGGTAAGACAAAGAAATAAGAAATATTATGTATCCATTCATAAACATGTGTATATTAATATATTTCCAAAAAAATACTAATAATTTTTCATAATCTGGCAAAATATTTGTGAACCATTCCAGCTGTTCCTTTTGTAGTATGTCTGTAAACAAGAGCATCCTAAAAATTTTGTGCAAGATTCAGTTCAGACTGGCTAATCTATTCACTCAATGCTCTCAGTTTCAAAAAATTTATTACTTTGCTTGATGCAAATGATGCTTTGCTTGATGATGATTGCTTTGCTTTTCTTGGTTTGCTTGATGTGGACACAAGTTACTATCATAAAAAGAAAGTTAGGCTTTCTCTGTGGAATTTACATAGAATGTGTAAAACCTGTCATTTTAGCTGTGAATAAATATGAATCCTTTGTCAAACGTATGTAAGGATGTACCTCCACGCTTCATGATATCTTCCCTTCAACATGTCTGCACTGTCGTAATAGTCATATTCTCTAATGTTGGTGAGAATATTTTTTGTGTAGACTGTACAGATTATAAATATGTTTGAAATTAGATGTGAAACTGAGCTTCAGCTTGCCACTTCAGAAAAATCTGATCTCACTATTGTAGATTTCAGTTCTGATGTTCTCTTGACCAATTTAAGTGAGTGTTTTTTTTTTTTTTTTTTCTTCCTGTCAGTGAAACATAAATAGCCTGTCACAATATCAAGCATAGAATGACAGTTCCAAACTCAGAATTCAGCAGCCTGTTGATGAAATACCTTTTGCAGTGGGCTTTTAAAGACAGAAACCAGTGTTGTTGAAAAGCATTAGCAATTTTGACCTAGCATCTAACAGTAATCTTAGATCCTTTAAGTTGTTTCAGAACAAGACTTAGTGCCTTGAAATATTATTCCCTCTTCTCATTTCCGTAACTGTTTGCCTTATTTTTAAAATGGGTGGCAATTGTCTGCCCTAGGATGTTCCAAATGATACTTGTTTAACTTGGAAAAAATTGGTTTGATTCCATGATTGCTAAAATCATAAATGGGCAGAATGCTTGACATGTGTTTGTGGCATTATGTCCATTACAATTCAGTGTTACATTATGAAATTGGATTAGATTATGATAATTAGATTTGCCTTTTCCTCATTCCATGAAAAAAAAAAAATATATTAGTATGATTAGTTACTTCATGAAATACTATTATTTTTATATATGTACATAAAGAGAATTATGGACACTAGTATATTTTTCATTTATATGTAGCGTATGTGTGTATTTGTATGGATATATATTTATATAAATGCATGAATTATATTTAAGGGAAATTTTTTATTTTTAGTAAAATGCCAGGAAAGCATCGCTCTAAACCTAGAGAAACAAGGAGAGAGAAAAAAGCTCGTATTTTTGCTCTGGTTAAAACTGCAAGTGAAGCTGATGATCTGATGTGTAAATTTCCACATTTAGCAGTTTACAAAGAATATGGTTTAGATTTAAAAATCGAATATGTTAGCTCAAACAACTTAGATAAGAAATCAATGGATGAAGTATTCTGTTTGTTGAAATGTAACATGAAACTTGCATATGAAGAAAGTGATTGGGGATGGAATGATACTGCCAAAAGAAATGAACTTAGAGATGAAAGTGCAAGATATTTACTTGCTAAGGATGCTAATGGAAAAATTATTGGCTTTTCCCACTTCAGATTTGATATTGAAGAAAGTTATCCAATTCTATATTGTTATGAATTGCAGATTGACCCTGAATTTCAAAGAAAAGGTCTTGGACAACATATAATGAATGTGTTATTCTTAATAGCTCATAATTTCAAACTAGTCAAGATTGTTCTGACAGTCTTCAAGCATAATATTGCCGGACTTAATTTTTATACAAAATCAATGGCATTTCGACATGATGAAACATGCCCAAAAGAAGAAGAAGGAAAATGCTATGTCATTCTTAGCAAATTTGTGGACATGAATGAAATTAATCATTAAAGTATCCATTAAATATCACCTGATGCATTTTGATGTGCTATCATATTGCCATTTACTTATTTTGTAACTACTTCACTTTTGTTTATTAAATGACTCTTTAGTTGCAAAGAGTATCATCCTGATTTTCAAAATTTTTCTTCTTTCCTATAATGAAGTTTTAAAAGTAAGTCTTGTTTTATCTTTTCATATCTTCATTTCTTTTATCGTGAAAACTGTTAAAATGTTTTTAGTATTAAATTTTAGGCACTTCCGCAGAGAACCCGGTAAATGTAAACATCGCCAACTTTAGCGATAATAGTTCAAACCTGGTAACCCATCGGATTTATCCCTATTCTCTTGTTCGAAGTTTGCAACCATTCCTCTTGCGTTTATTTTGTTGAATTTTCACTGTCGTTGTTCGCATTTGCAGATTTATATTATTATTCTCTTATTTATTATTTTTTTTTGTGAATTTTTTAACAACGAATAGATAGAAATATTTTCGTAGATTATGCCGTTCCCGATGGAAGGAAGAAAATAGGCGGAGGGGTGAATGTTAATTTGTAACACGGCTGTTCACGTTGTGTTTCCTTAATTATTACAGCTCTATGAACCATGAGGTTTCCAACCGCTAAATTTGTTTTCGTAGGCCGCAAAAATGTGGCATTTTAAATAATTAAGAAATGCTTTTATTTTTATTATTGGTTATTGTCATCTAAAATTATGTGAATAAATCATTTTTAATGGCGTAAAATTTTAACAAGATAATATATTGTTAATGCTTTTCTAACAATAACCTTTCAGAGGATGGCAGGTGTGACATAAATAGATTATTAAATTGAAATAAAAAATATTGATTATCTAAGATGACAGAATAGTTCGATGCACATGGTCATCAAAATTAGCAAACCACTGCTGGTTAAGGAAATATTGTTTTCTGTGTTAACTGGAATTTAAGACAAATTTTTTTCGTATATCACGCTTAACCGTTAATTTCAGTATATTAATACTAATTTATATTTTTAAAAAAATGAATTTTTATTATTTCCGTTATAAATCCTTATATTTGTCTAATGCTTAATATATTCTCTTCTTCTGTGCTAACTTGAATTTAATACAAATTTTATTTCGTATATCACGTTTAACCGGTTGTTTTACATCTACATGCGTATTATCGTGAATTTTTACTACCTATGCTTAATATATTGTTTTGTCTGCTAATTTGAATTTACATAAACTAAAAATCACGTTTATGGCTCGGCTCATCGTCGATGAACGGCGAGCTTGGCGAGTAAAAATGCAACAGCGCCAACGGGTTCTCTGCGGATGAAAACCCGTATTTTGCATATGTAATAGTGTTGAAAAAGTTCTGACCATGCAAATAAAATATGCTTTTTATGAAATTGTCTGTAAAAGTTTTTCGTAAGAAGCTGTTAGTCATATATAATTGAAGATTTGTCAGGTCTGGGCCTCGCTAATGAAATTGTTTTAAAGATATTTTAAAAATTTGAAATTCTAATGAGACAGCGGTAAAATCCTAGTATACGGTGTAGCCTTGGCGCGATTTTAAAAATTATCGCCAACACCAAAAAATTACCAAAAGAACGTCTATGTATATATAGTGATAGTACACTATATACATAGTATACTATGTATAACTATATATATTCTTTGAATATATACTATGTATAACTATATATTCTTTGAATAGTATACTATGTATAACTATATATATTCTTTGAATACCCGTTTACTACTTATCGTATATGTCCCGTTTTTACTGCTCATCATAAAAGTCGCCAAATCCCGTGTGCACCGGATACTAGGATTAAACCGAGACGGCTTGTTTAATTTGTGTTTTGTCATTTTTTGTATATAATTTGTATCTGAACGGGGTACAAAGAGGGAAAGCTAGAAGTAATATTTTGACCCCTTTTGGATGCAAATTAGATTTCCATAAATGTTGGAGTAATTTTCCGTGTAAAGGAACATCAGAAGTATCACAAGGGATTATCACTTATATATATACAGTAGTATATGTATTACTACCAGTAGGTTTACTACTACTGTATATATATGTATATTGATGTGATTTACAATATGATAAATATTACTTTTGCTTTTCTGTAGAGATTAAATGAATATTTTGCAGTGTTGAAAATCATATTCTTAGTCTGTTTATATAAATAGTTTTTCTTAGGATTTGAAAAGCCATGGTGTTATATTAAGTAGGAATGATTAGATGTTCTCACATAATAGAGGGGGGAAGTATTTTTCAGAGTATATCCTATGATTATGCTAAGTCTATGTAATAAAAATATGTTTTATATTATAAATCATGTCATATTAAAAATATGAAAATTTAGTATTTGTGTATTATTAAGCATAAGTGATTAATTGCCAGATATAGATGTTTATTTGCACTCACAACTGGTGATAAATAAAAAGTTGTCAGCTTAGTAACTTTATTGAAACAGTAACAAAACTATTTAAACAGGTTACTGTCTACTGCAGTATCTGATTACTTGTGTTTTGTCATCTATTTCTTTTTTATTAGCGCAATTCCAATCATTTCCTGGGCAATGTTCTTTATAATGAGATCGTAAAATTGTTAATGAGTGATCAAGATGAGCACCAAATCAGAAGTGTCCACCTATTAGATTAAAAAAAAAAATAATTGAAAGAAAATACCAAGTAATTTTTTGCTACATCTGTAACATACAGTCTATGCATGGTAAAATGTGCGATTTGAAAATACTGTTAATAATTTTAGAAAAAGTATTTTAATGTCTGTTGTTATTTATGTGCCATATAGAATGTATATGGAGATGAAATTACTGTGTGTAGAGGTGCGAAAAGTTTTAAGACACTTGAAACCAAAGAAAATCCAGTTGATCTTTACATTATGGTAACTTGGCGTTTTTTTGGCGACCAACTCTCCTACAGCAACTCTCTATTTTTTTTTCCCGCCGCCATAAGTAAAGACATGTTTCTTTTCTTTTTATCTACTGAACACTTCTTCCAACAATCTACTAGCCGAATTACACTTATGCTAGAAATTTTATCTAACAAACTGCTTATCATGACAAATATTCACTGCAAAAATTGGGAAAAAGTGCACAATACCATACTCCTTACGCGTTTTTCAAAATAACACATACACATAAACCATGTACACGCCGACTTATTTTTACTTAAAAAAACATCCCAGAATTGCACAAAATGGCATTGCGCACTTCTCTTCACTATATCCATGTACACTGCTTTTTTCTCATAAATTAGAAAAATTTCACGAAAATACATGACAATTTTCTCAATCTTTAAACCCGGTAAAAAGAACATATATGAAATTACCTGATCGCGAAAAAGTATTTACCCTTTCCAAATATGAACATTTCCACATATAAATAAATAAAATATCCAAAAACTTTTACCTCTAAATCATCTATTACATTATACACGTCACCAACGAATTCATACCGCAAGCATTACAAATACTTAGTATCAAATATTTAAAATTATTTCCATGCACGTTTACTTCAACTTAAACGTATACCAAATTCCTACAAACATAAAATTCACAAAATAACTATCATTTAATTAAATATCACTAAACCATGTACACGCCGACTTCTTTTACTTAAAAAAAAAAATCCCAGAATTGCACAAAAATGGCATTGCGCACACTCTTCACTATATCCATGTACACTGCTTTTTTTCTCATAAATTAGAAAAATTTCACGAAAATACATGACAATTTTCTCAATCTTTAAACCCGGTAAAAAGACATATATGAAATTACCTGATAGCGAAAAAGTATTTACCCTTTCCAAATATGAACATTTCCACATATAAAATATCCAAAACTTTTACCTCTAAATCATCTATTACATTATACATGTCACCAATGAATTCATATACTGCAACCATTACAAATACTTAGTGTCAGATATTTAAATTATTTCCATGCACGTTTACTTCAAATAAAACGTATACCAAATTCCTACAAACATAAAATTCACAAAATAACTATCATTTAATTAAAATATAATTAAATTCAAAACACTACTTAAAATATAAATGAGCACATACATTAAATTAATACATACATAAATACCCATTTCGAATTCACTTTAGTTACGGCCATGGGATCCAAAATTCCCGAACACTGTTTTCACACACCACACAGAATAAAGCCAAATACAAATTCCCAGATTTTTTCCCGATTTTCCCCCGTTTTTTTTTTCCGATTAAAAGAACCGTAGTCCATTAATATCACATGACATATCCCATGATCTCTCATTTCCCTCACACAAAATAATGCGTAATTGGAACTGAGTACTGCTCACATTATTACCAAAGTCCAGTAGTACCTTTATCGCCTCCAAAATGTCGCCAAACTACCAGTTACCATATTGTAAAGATCAACCGAAAATCCTTCTTACTTATATATAAATGTTTGCATGTATTCCAAATAAAAAAATTGTTACTTATATAATTATATAGTTAAAAAAATTGTTATAATTGTATAGTAAAATTATAAAAGAAGAACTAAGGTGTTAATTAATAATGTTTTCTTTATTAGTATGGACATCATTATATATATCATCAGCACTTTCCATAGACACTCATAAGGTTTCTAACATATGTTGAAAAAAAGCTTTTTCTAATCGTACAGGCAACAATTACTGTATCTCAGTGTTTCCCTACTGTGTTTCATAAACAGTTACTGGGGAAAGTGCAGAATCACCCACTGATTCATGCGTTTCTCAAAATCGCCAACTTGAAAATAACTCAAAGAATTGCACAAACTTAGTCAGTATCCATGTACACATCAACCTATTTTCACTTAAAAAAAACATCAGAGAATTGCACAAACTTGGCTCCCTTGACTTTGTCGATGTACACATCGATATGTGCCATATAAGTGGGCAATCGGCATCAACTTGAAAATAACATGTTGAATTGTACAAACTTTGTATCCATGTACACATCGACCTATTTTCACTTAAAATAAAATCAGAGAATTGCACAATCTTGGCATTGTGCACTGCCTTTGACTTTGTCCATGTACACATCGATATGCGCCATATAAGTGGGACTCTGCACTTCACCCCAGTTACTAATTGTTATGCAAAAAATTACAATACCAAAGTTAGAGAAGAAAAGAAACGTGTGCTTTTTATGCATTTAACAAAATTTAAAATAATTTTTAAAAAAACTTAAAAGATAAAGCATGAAGCAAAGTGGTTTGAATCACAGCTGTAAAAGATTAAGTGATGTAGCATGATGTCAGGTGACTGACATTTTCGACAAAATGCTTTTCTGTTGTGTGCTCAGAAGTAAAGTGTTTCATTGTCACTTTTAGTATTGTAAAAATTCATTTAATTAGTTTCCTTTGGACTTCTTACTCTCTTTATCTTCTTTTTGAAATTTGTGCAAGGCAGATTTTTCACAAATTCTCTGCAGTAAAATAGGTTTCTAGTATTGTGCTTGACATTAAAAGAATTTGTAATTCAAAGTCTCAGATATATTGAAGTCATTGAAAACTAAAAATATTAAAATTTTTTAATATTATTTGTTTCATTTAATTAGATTTATGTCATTTTTTGTGAAAATAAAAAATTGAAAACTTTTTTTTTTTTTTTTTTTTTTTTTTTTTTTTTACTGGATGATATAAAATTGGAATAAATGTTTATTTTATTTAATATATCTGTGTTTATCATTTATCATAACTGAAAACTCAAATTTACTCTAGTGTTCTTTAGAACTTAAAAGTGTTCCACAATGAGAGAAGTGTGGGAAACACTACTTATTTGATGGGATCTATATTATATTCAATATGTCAGTACTTGAATTCATTGGGAATTAAATAAGCAAATTTTTTTATGTTCCTCATAAATAGTCTCTGATTAGTCTTTAGGAATTCTCATATAATAATGGCAACATTTCTATGAAGTCACTACCATTCATAAGAAGCTTATATATAGATAATGCTCATTTTGTGTCACCCAGTTAAGCTGATTAGTAATTTGGCTGTATGTAAGTACAGTCAAATACCGAAAATTCGCGTTGCCTCTCAAAATATAAACGTTCAGTTTATAGGTTTCGGAAACTGCAACATGGAGTATGAAATATCGAAGAAAAAATATTTTACCGGATAATGACATTACCGAATAAAATGAGTCATAACGGAAATACCAAATTATTGACATCATGATAAAAGTTTTTTTCCCTCCAGTCTTCATAGAGGTAATAAAGCAGATTATTCACTTAAATCTTCTTTCAAGTACACGATTCACGTTGTTGTACTTTCTGAGCTTTGTTATTTCACGAGATTGTTTAGTGCTGCTGTTTTTTTTTATCCGGATATTTTGTGGGAAAATTAAGAATATTTTAAATTTCAACGCTTTTTAATACAGTGACAGATAAAAAAACACACTCATGATTTTACTGCTTGCAACGCTGAAAAACTTAAACATGTTGCATTCACAGTAATACAAAAAGTGGAAATTTTGCAAAAGATGAAAGGCAGGTGCTACTCCTCAGTTTATAGCAGATTCATATGGAATTGCAACACGTACCATGTATGATATATGGAAAAATAAAGAAAGCTGTTCAAATTTTACAGCAACAGTTATTCTAATACCGGAAATCTTTACACGAGGCGAAATCGGCAAACCTCGATGCCGTCTCGTACGAGTGGTTCTGGCAGTGGCCCAACTGATGGGATACCAATTTCAGGACTTCTGAGAGAAAAGGGGAAGCAGATCATGCTGATTTAAAAATAGAGGAGCTTAATGTAAATGAATAATATCATAAATTTATATATCTAATAATAATTTAATGCATATAATAAATTATTGTAATAATGTATATAATAATTTAATTAAATGTATCTTAATACGCCTTATTTATTTTGCACTTTTAGCATGAATATTATGATTTATCCTTTCTGTTCCAAAATCCGCACAACCTCTGGTCTCGAGCTTTGCGGATTTCTGGACTTTTACTGTAATAGTCTTCAGTTTTTTTCATTTTTATAAAATGGCAGTCAGTATATTAATGTTGATACTTTCTGATTATATGTACACCCACCATAAAGTCATGATCTCATTGCTGACAATGGGAGAAATATTTGTTTGGGTATGTTTACTTGCATTTATTTCAGTGATGCTTCCAGCGCTATCTATTTTTTCTTCTTTTTTTTCCTTACAAGATGCATACATTACTAGATCTTTCGCACTTTTCTTCAACCATGCACGGCTTTATCAGTGGCCGAGTTGTTAATAACTGCTTAACCCTCCACATATGGCTCTTGCAATTTCCACGGGATACGAAATCCATCTCATAACATGGGTCGCATGAAAATAGCATGCGTAAGAATGTTTTTTAAAATTAAGAACAAACTATTAAAATTTCTGCATTATACTAATTTTGTTTATAAAGATGTAAATAGTAATATATAAAGATAGAGAATATAAAAGAAAAAAAGCCCCGTTTTCAGAACTAGAATGTGTCCAAATCGTGATGTATGTGGAGGGTTAATGACTTCAACGTGAGTTTGGTCCCAAGCGAACTGGCTAGCAGTATGCTTGATTTTTTATAGATTTTCCCATGCTTATAATAAATACATGTAATGTGAATATGGGCCAGTTTATTTTAAATAGTCTTATGAAGGCATCCTTCCTTCTAGGCAGATAGCTCATGTACTTTGCCATATTCTAATAACCTAAACCTTTTCCCATATACACAGTAATTTGTGCTTTAAAAAAAAAAAAACGTAAAATCTGAAGGCTTTTAGATTTTTTTTCTTTCATTTATAGACACATGCAGGTTTTGAGAGCATTTGACTAAAAATATTTAAAAACAGTTTATCTTTAGAACTTCCAATAGACCGTCTCGCGTGCTGGAGATAAAAATGTTATTCCCTACAGTATTGCCACTGCTTGCTTTAAAATTGTTCAGTTTTTTCAAAAATTCGTTAAAAGTTTTATGAAATATGAAATAAACAATAAAACAAATCCAGGCTTTCAGTTGCGCATACTCGGGTGGAGGACTATGTTATTCAAAATTTCATGACTCTAGGTACCATTGTTTTTCCAAAGTGCAAGAAACATGCATACATTCATGCAGATTTTTGATTATTTAATTTTTTTAAATCTAATACAGGGCGATAAGATTTGGTGGTAACAATTTGAAAAGTGATTCAATGTAAAGTGTTGTTTCGAGACTAATAGCTCTTCTGGGCTAATGCCCCTTTGGACTAAAAATTTCAGACAATTGCACAACTTTGACACACCAAAACCCTATAATAAATAGGGAAAAAAAGGATCTTGTGATGCTTTTAATTAATGTACACTGCACAAAGATAAGAATTTTTTAATATGTTTGAATGTCTATAGTACATTAAAGTTGCATCAATTCTGTCCTTATGTAAATATGTTTTATAATGTTGTTTCCGTAAATATGCTTATGCAAATATGTTTATAAATTTTGTAAATAAATTTTATATTTAGTAATCTTGCTTTATAGTATAATAATTTAAAAAAAAACTAGCCAGCTTAAATAGCAAAAATCATTTATTCCATTTAACAAAAATCTCTTTCTCATAATTCACCTATCGACATGCATACTGCTATCTGCAAACAAAATATTTTGTGTAACAAATGGGTCATTTATGGTAGGGAAAAATGCTGCCAAATTTATGTACTGTACATAACCCTTCTCTCAAAAATGGTCAAATGTCCTAGTTAAGTGCGTACTTTTGATTATCCAGGCTAATGCCAGGGAAGCTGGTCACACATACTCCAAACTTTCTCAGTATGCATATTATTTAGCATATTTCTTTAAAAAAGTCAGTAATTTTACTTCATTTTGAGGCATTTAAATATTCTTTGAATTTCGCTGCATGTTTTTCAAAGGGCTGTTTCATCGTTCTGTTCGCTGTAAATTATCGTTCAAAATAAAAAATGAAACTGAAATTTTGAAGTCAAATAATAATAGGGTAATATTTACATCAATGAACAGACTAGCTAAAAATGCTCTGAGGAAAAATTTTGATGTTAGATGACTTGAAGAACCTAAGAATAAGAAGCGCAGGGATTCAATTTGTAGACTTTTTCCGATCCATTGCAGTTGTGGTGTTTCTTGTCTTGCTGAACATCCGGACCACACTGGTATATATGACAGTTCCTTGTGCACTTTGTGCAACGAGAATTTTGGGATGGACAGAGATCATTTGCTAAAATGTTCCTCATTGAAGGAAGAAAACTGTACAGTCTATATTGGCAGGCTAGAGAGTTGATTCAAGAACTATTTTTTTTTAATACTTAATATACTCATATGTTATTTCTTTTTCCAGTTTCGATGTAGTTATTGTTATTGTAATGAGGTTAATTACTATTTTGTCTTATTGTACTTCTGTTTTTGTATTTTTTGATGCTCTAGTACATATTTGATGCTTGGGGGCCAATGATGATCAAGTGCCTGTGTGATTTAAAAAAAAATCTCCTTTGTTTGACAATAGAATTTCATCAGAAGCCATTGATATCTTAAGATTAATGTAATTGTCAGTACATTCACTTTTATTGTCAGTACTCCTCTGTGCCTCTTCTAATCTTGTAACATTTGAAAAAATATCCACATCACTCAAACATTGGAAGCCTGTCTTAGTAAAATAACCATCAAACATTCCTAGATGTTTTCCTGATCGACATTTTCAAAGATTATTACATTTTCCGGGGGGCATACAACTTCAGTTATTCCTTCTATTTCATAATTAGATATATGTATACATGCAGAAGGAATTGTACGAGACAATTATTGAATCTAAAACTAAAGACTATTCAGTGGTTTTAGTGCATGCTTAGATTTATGCATTTGTTTTTTACATCCTCTCATGCATAGCTTGTAAGTGTGCACGTATGAGCACTGCCAAACACAGATAATTCGCAAATCAGGTAATCGAAAGTACACTGTAATTTATTTTTCGGCTTGCCAATCTGTGATGGTATACAATTGTATTTTATGCCCATTTCCAGATATTCAAGTGAAAGATAAAATACCTCTTTTACGGAATAATGTTTCATTTTAACTTAATGGTGAATTGAAAATTGTCAAAATTTGAATCCCCCAGCAAAACAATTATTTCATGTTTCTTATTATTTAATTTTGTGATATCTTGTGAAAATGAATTGTACCCAACATGGTGATTAATTGGTGGTCACCAATAAAACCAACAAATACCTTAAATTTAAACAAAAAAAAAAAAAAAAAAAAAAAAAAAAAAATACACAACGGAGTAAGTGCACAGATTATTGTAGAACATTTTTAATTGCTTTCTCTTATGCCCTCTTATAACAAGATAGATCGCTTCCTGCAAAATACTGTGTTGTGTGAAACTATGCTATACAAGACTAATAACCAATAGAATATAGACCAGCCATTCTCGACCTTTTAACTATTGCGCACCATCTAAACAATAACTGAAAAACTTTAATACCACCACTACATTTTACATTGATTATTTTTCAATTTCTCAATAGAAATATTAAACATATATATTTTGCAATCTGCACAAACTATTCGCTATTTGTATTAAACAAGCACACATAAAAAAATATTAGATTAAATTTGGTTACCATTTTAATTATCAAAATTTAGAGTGAAATTTAGGTCTGTTAAAGAGAGCTAAATTTCTTTGTGTCTAGTCTTATTTTACTTAGTTTTAATCATAAATTAGGATCCACATCTCATTTTATTTTTTCAATATAACATGGAAGAAAATCTTTGTTTACAGAAATAGTTTCTGCAAAAAGGCAATAAAAATTTAATAGCTTTGTTTGAAATGCCTTTAAATTCTTTTCAGTTCAGCCAAAAGTTAAGAAGTGTGTTATTTTTAAAGTCATCAGTTAGAGTTCGATCACAGGAAACTCCTATCAATTGTTCTTTTTCTTCATGAGATAACATTTTAGATACAATTGAACAAACTGGATTTCTAATACAATTATCTTTGTTATAATCCTCAGGAAAATATATGTTGTAATTATTTATCAAATTGTGATTTTTAATGTCGGATGCCAATTCTTTTATTTTCAAGTTACTTTCAGTTAGAAAACTTTCAAAAAGTGGTAAAAAGCTTAAAATATTATTATCCAATTCTTTGATTATTAGCTCAAGTTTTTTTATTGTTGCATTTATTTTATTTTTAATTGTAAATAAGTTAATACTTTGCCCTTATAGCCCTAAATTTAATTCATTTATCTTTCTAAAATTATCACCCAAACATGCTAAACACACCAACTATAATTTACTAAATGAACATTTTTGCAATTAAAATTTTGGATCGCAACGGAAAATTTCAATTTCTGATCAAAGTTCAAAAAGACGATTTAAAACTTTGCCTCTGGATAACCGCCTTACTTCGAAATGTAAGAAAAGCGTTTTTTGTTCACTGCATGTCTCTTGGCATAAAATTGTAAATATTTTTGAATTTAAAGCTTAGCTTTTAATAAAATTAACAATCTTCACAGCTTTGATTTTAAACGATTTTCAGATTTTGAGGGATTGTTTTGACTACTAAAGCTTCACTATGAATGGAGCAGTGAGTAAATTTAGTTTCAAGTGCGACTTTCTTTATCTGTGAAATAACATCGGAATGTTTTCCTGTTAATGCACGAGCTTCGTCACTGCATACAGCAATGAAGTTATTCCAAGGAATATCATCCTCAGACATTAAATTGTCAATTACTTTAAAAATTTAATTTGCAGTTACTCTGTTATGAAGAGATTCAGCAAATAAATACTCTTCAGGAATTTGTTTATCTCCTTCTAAAGGTATGTAAACTAATAATTAAACAAAGTTCGTTATATCAGTATTTTTATCTAATTGTAATGCGAAATACTCACTATGTTTTATTTTTTGAATAAGTGTCTCTTGAAATTTCCATGATATTAGCCATTTCATGAATTCATCGACATACTGCATCATTTGATAACAGAATACAGTCAAAAGTCTTTAATCCGGACTCGTCAGGACTTCGGCAATTCCGGATTATTGATCATCAGTTTAAATCTGGTAAGATGGCATGCAGAAATTATAAAATTAAAAATATGAAAACATAATTTATGAAATAAAGAGCAATTATGATCTAAAGGGTATAAGCATTTACTGAAAAAAGCTTAATATTTATTTGTTTACTTTATTAAACATTTCTTTTAACATGCGCATGCATAAAGCATACGGTACGCATAATCAAAATTACAAAATTGTAACCAAAAAACTATTTGATGTGTATTCGTGATATTTATAATGATGAGGAATTTGATTTAAATCATATCAAAGACGGAGTACCTCGAGATGAAATACAACATTTAGTAAGGAATTATAAGCCGAATAAAATAAAAACATCTGCCCTGAAGATAAGGACAGTGCTGACAGATCAACTTCCAGTTAATTGCACACTGTGCCCCCCCCTCAGAGCAGTGTGAAATTGATAAACAGATTTCGGAATGGTTAGAGAAACAAAGGCTATGCCTTTATCCATTTTTTTGCAGCAATTCCACTTTTTGTTTGATGGACATCGAAACATGCTTTCACTTTGTAGATCCTTTGCAGCTCCAGAATCGGAAATTCTTTTTGACATAATCGAAAGTTCAAGCTTACTTTTATAAAATTGCTCTAACAGTCTGTAAAAAATAATAAGCCGGATCCAATTAGAAGATTAAGGAACAATGCAATCTGCAACATTAACTGAAATAGATAATTTTAGCTTAGCTTATACCGTCCGTTCGTTATACATTAAATGTGCATGCGTAAACATATTAACGCATGCGCAGAAAGTTTGTAACTTTGAGTTCCAGATTATAGATCATTCCGGATTAAAGACTTTTGACTGTATTATTAAATTCATTAGCTGCTCTTTCATTGAATAATGCTAAAACGATATCTTTAGCTGCTGGTAATATAAGGTTTTCTTCTATAGTGGGGGCCTGCCCAGTCTTAATTATTAGGTAACTAGCTTCCAAAGCTTTTTTCATTTGAAGTAACAAAATCTTTCATTACTTGTTTACTATTTTTGAACTGTGCTGATTTCCTTTTAAAATATTCTTCAGAGTTATCCTCTAAACTGGCGTGCTTAGATTCAACATGTCTTTTAAGAAACAATGTTTTCATGCTTTGATTGGATAATAGTTCACCGCTAACAACACATCAACGTTGAGGGTCCATTTCATCTTTATTCCAAGTAAACCCAAATGATAAATAACTTATTATTTTTTCTATAAACAATTTTTCTTTCTTTTTTTGATATCTTAGTGCTAGTAAGTTGTCATGGATCCAACATCTAATGCATTATCAATTTTCCACTTAGTCAATCCTAACCATTTTTTCATTTTGAAAAATCTAGGTTTGTTTTATTATTTTTTCTCAAATATTTAAATGCACAATATATCACAAGTTCTTCAGAAACAAACGACTATATTCTCAAATCGTGATACGAAAAGTAAGAAACACAAAGCAACAAGAAGAGAAAATACCTGCTGTTAGAAACAGCAAATCGAGGGGTATATATATAAAAAAAAAAAAAAAAAAAAAAAGAGAGAGAGAGAGATTCTAATTGAAAATAGAGCATTATCAGCCCAGAAATGGTGGCGCATAATGTGTAGACATGCTAATAAATCAATCAACTTTAAAAGAATAAACCATATACTATTATCTTTTTATAAGAACTTATTTTTATTTCATATTAAATACAACCACCATTGCTGTTACTCCTTTTAAAACATCATTTATGACAAATTTTGTTATGTCTATGGTTAGAAGAATATTTGTGAAAATAAAAGCAGATTATTTTTGTAAAGTCTATGAGCATCTATTGACCTTGAACAAAGTTCATATCTAAATTTAAAGAGTGTTAAGAGAAAAAAAGAATGTTGAAGTATTTAATTTTGAATTTAATAGTTAAAAATACTTTGCTTCTTTGCATACCACCTATACTTCTCTTGCATAATACCGGTTGAAAATTGCTGATATACATTCAGAAAACTAAATTTTAAAATGCATTTTTTTCTCACCGTTGCCTCATTTAAACTTAAACTTTTTTTCATTGCAAGATGCCTTTTCTCCTTTTAACAAACAGTTCAATATTTGTATTTTCATCTCTAAAGAAATATTCTTTTTGAAGTTGTCCTTTTACTTTCAGACATGGTTAGAGATTGAAATATATTTTGTAATAATTATTCCCCAAAATGACAAAGGAAATTAGTTATATATACCCCCTTTTTTGTTTCCAAGTTTCTTTCAAAATCACACTAGTGTAAATGATGTGCACAATTCAATTTCAAAATATTTTGATTTTAAAAAATGCAGTTATTCTCAGAATTTATTATATTTTTGTGTATAAATAAATAAATTGTTATTGTTACTACAAACAATGGCACAGTAACTTAATTTCATACATGCTTAATATAAAAATATGTACCCCTTGCAAAAAAGTAAGGGGAGACAGCTGTATGTCTGTCGTTCTACCGGACTGATTGTCGAAATTTAACGTGTTTTCTGTGTCTCGAAAGCGCGACATATGATATATATTCAATTTATATATAGCATTATTCTAAGATAGGTATTTTGACACAAAATTGGACTTTTCCTCAAATAACATACCAATTTTTTTCCATATTTCAATTCTACAACTCGGATTATGCCAAAGTTTTGTAATAATCTCAGAAGTATTGTCAAAAAATTAGCAGACAAAATTTTAGCTCAATCAAGACAAGGAAAATGCAAGTTAAATTTTGAAAAGCAGAAAGGGAGATATAGAATCGTCTCCTTTTTGTGTGCAAGATTACATACATAAAGTTTTATAAGATGTTCTATGCATATTCATTAACATGCTAGAATGAAACTGTATAGTAGGAGTTTTATAAGTGTGATACCTATATGTTGCCGACATGTCAATAATTTATCTTTATCAAGCTGAAATAGGCATTCTGTTTTGTGCAAGGTATTAGAAAATCTTTTATCAATTAAAATAATGTAGTTATAAATTTATATAGATTTTTAGTTGGACTTATTGTAAAATAAATGTATTTGAAAATATTTCAGTTAGATTATTCAAATAAAATTAAACAGAAGTTTGTTATCAGGGTTGTTTGTCCATGATGACCACAATTCTAGAGCCAAGCAGAGTAAATTGAGATAGACTGTTAACTTAAAACTAAACTGGTGGTCACTAGCATGGTATAAACATTCTTAAGAACTGAATTTGTTGCTTTTAAATCACACAGTTATTAATTAATTAAATTTGAAAAATAAAGATTTCATGCTTTTTCAAATGCTTAGGTGCACGAGGACACTTTTCACAAGCTTCTGGACCTGAGCCAAATCCTGAGTGAAATTAGCATTTCCATAGCATAACATGGAAAAGTGTCTGAAGTGAGATCGGATACTACAGTCAAAAGTCGTTAATCCTGACTCATCGGGACTTCGGCGATTCCGGATTATAGATCATCAGTTTAAATCTCGTAAGATGGCATGCAGAAATTCTAAAATTAAAAATATGAAACCGTAATTTATGAAATAAAGAACAATTATGATCTAAAGGGTATCAAAATTTGCAAAAAGAAAAAGCTTAATATTTATTTGTTTACTTTATTCAACATTTCTTTCAATGTAAGTTGTTTAAGTTTTGCTTCGTTTCATGTGATAATACTTTCTCTTTAATTCTATTAAACAGACATAATTTCTTGTTCAGAAACAAAGTTCCGCTGTTCAAGTCCTATAATTGCTTGTGTCGAGAACACCGACTAATTTGTCAATCGAAATTTTTTCGTTTTCAATAACCTCTGTCACTTTCTTCGCTATCGGAAGCGAATTATAATGACGAGGAACTTGTTTTAAATCATATCAAAGACGGAGTATATCGAGATGAATGAAATACTACATTTGGTAAAGAAATTATAAGCCAAATAAAATAAAAACATCTGCGCTTGAACATAAGGATAGTGTTGACAGATCAACTTCCAATTCATTACGTGCGCCGAGGCGTTCCCCCCGCCGAGCAGCGTGAAATTGATAAACAGATTTCGGATTTCAAAACATACATTTCGCTTTAGATCCTTTACATATTAGCAAATATATATCGGAAATTCTATTTGATATAATCGAAAGTTTAAGCTTACTTTTATAAAATTGCTCTTACAGTCTGCAAAAAATAATAAGCCGGATCCAATTCGAAAATTAAGGAACAACGCAATCATCAACATTAACTGAAATAGATAATTAGATAATTTTAGCTTATACGTCCATTATACATAAAACGCGCACGCGAAAACGTATTCTGCACTTGCGCACACTCATATGCGCAGTCGTAAAAGGTCTTACGCACACGCGCAAACGCCTATGCGCATGTGTCAACGCGGCGCATGCGCAGAAAGTTTTTAGTTTTGAGGTCCGGATTATAGATCATTCCGAATTATGGGTGTCCGAATTAACGACTTTTGACTGTATAAGCCTAATCTCACGAAAAGCTTTAGAAGTCTTGAGATGTAGTAGTTCTTCCGTGTAGACCAAGTTGGTTAATGGCATGATTGAGCTACTGTCCAACATAGCAAAACTATGAAATCTGACTAAATTTAAGAAGATAAATTACAAATTTCATTTTTCATGCAGTGGCAACACTTGCAAAATTACATAGATGATAAATGCAAAGTTGTGTAATGGTCCAAAAAATTTGGAGAGTTTTACTTAGGATCTTCCTAATATGAAAATTAAATTAAATGGTATTTTTGATCTATGGGCTGATAATCACTACAGGTGGGCAAAACTGCTTTTTTATGGGATCAGATTGCTCACTGAACTGAATTGGTTTTTTTCTACGAGCCATCGCTTACTAATAACATTCATGAATAAGATCACAAACAAGTAAATCAAGATTGGCATGCAAGAATGGAGCAAAGAATAGAAAGAGTACTGGGATAGGAAGAATCGACCCTCTGAAACCACTCTTTCCCTGATTTCTTTCAACTGTAGTTTTGAGATTTCCTGAAACCTTTTTTCGACATAGAACTAAAAATAAAATTCTAGAATAAAAGAGTGTTAAAAAACTCATTTTTACATGGAAGGATAAACATTCTTTTCTCCAGTAAAATGTGAGTAGAATTTTTCTGGCATGCTTCCAACAAGAGCTCTTCGTGAGTAAATTTTAAAATAGTTACCACTCTTTTTTGATGAATTAGTGTTCACCAACTGAGAAAAGTGAAAAATTTTGTGAACAAATAGCACACCTCTAATAGTTACCTGTGGGAAAGTACAGTAAAATTATATAACATTTTAAAATAAAATCCGAGCAAAGAGTCATTGGTGTCAAACCATAAATCATCAGTATGGGGCAATACAATACTGAATATTAAAATAAAACCAAAGGGCACTAGTACCTAAAGGCAGTCAATCACCAGCACTTTATGGGTTGATGGTCACCTTTATATCATTGGATGACCAAAATAAATTTTAACTAAATTATGCTAATGACCATCAAAGTCACTAGTTGCTGGTGATATTAAGATGGATGGTCTTCAGAACAAAGCAATGAAATTGAAAGAAGTCTCGTGCTAGTTTGTTCTGAAATTGAATTTCATCAGTGATTAAATTTTTAGCAAAAGAATGTTAATCCCAAAGAAGTAAAACAATGCTGATTATAGCATTATTATTATTATTCGATCATGCATATGCTGATTCATTTCCTTCCTATTTTAGAGTGAAAGAATGGGTAAAATAGTTTTGCATGGATTAAGAATCCTTAAAAGATGATTGTCATGAAGGTTGAAAATTGGAGCCATTGACATCAGAAGATATTACATGTCCAAGAAGAAATATTGAGTGTTAGGAGATTGAAAGTCCACGAGATAGCAACAAGATCGGATCTGCCTAAAACAACTGTTTTTTATATTCTATATGAACATAGTCTTTGTAAGTGGGTATTTGATTTCATTCAAAAACAGCAATATGGGTTTAAGGAGCTTTACCCTCCTTTATAATTTAGTTTTAGTTTTAAGTGATTATTATCTGTCCTCCAAACTGAATTCTGACCTCTGTGGAAGAATTCCAAGTCTCTTTAGAGACTTAGGTACTTAAGGAAAATCCCATCGACCACAAGAGACGACACCAATCGCACCAAACCAAAAAAAAAAAAATTACTAGATACAAGAAAAATGTTCTATTCTTATTTTTCTTCAAATTTATATATTATCTTTTATTTATATTTAATTTTCATTAAAAATTTCCATTATTTTTTGTTAAGGTGGTACACTGTAAAAGCAGTTATTTTCACTAGGTTTTAATTTAATCGCCAGTAAGATTCCATAACTCTGGAAATATTCAACAGCATGCTCTTCTGTAATAGGCAGGTCCTGAATTTTAATCTTTTTTTTTCCAAAAATGCATGATACAGAGAAAAAAATAAGTCTTTACTCAACTAACACGTGTTAGTTACTTGATAGAATAATAACTAACACATGTAATCAAGGTTACACCAAACCCATCATGTTTGAAGACTATTTTTCCATTTTGGGGGCAAAATAGTGTAGTTTGCGGTCTTTTCTTTAATAGGTAAAAATGATCGACGGGATTTTCTGTAAGTATCGAGACTTAGTGATGGTGATAGGAAAAGAGCAGTTATGCAGCATTTTGAGGACAAAGCTTTAGATTATTATTTCAGAACATAACTGCTCGGTAAATGATGTGAAAAGTGGATCAAGGTAAAAGATCATATTGAAAAATAAACCATTCACATTTTTTTTTTTATTTCCTTTAAAAGTATATTAGGTCGGAAAATTTTAGATCTACTTTTATAGTTATAACATAGTATTCCAAAAATTTTGGAAAGAAATTAGGAAATTTCTATTGTCAAAAGTTTTATTATAAATTGAAATAAGTATTAATATTTATAAAACACGCTATTTTTGAAAGGCATCATAAAATATCTTTAGGCTCTTTCTTATTAAATAATTACTAAAGAATGGAAAATGCATATTTATTTATATATTGTGCATAAATAATCAGATGCTGATTTTCCATTTTTCCTTGTTCCTAAGCGTCACAAAATCATTTTGGGCCTAGTTAATACACATATATAGAAAGTACAGGTTTCTTATTCCAAGACAGCCTTACTAAGCAATTGTAGAATTATTATCTACTCAATAACACAAAGTAGGTGCAAGTGCATAAATAATGATTACAAATTACATTTTTAACTTTGTATTCTAGAGTCACTATTAGAGTGATAGCAATAGTTTTCCTTAATATAGAAATATTGATTTGCATCACATATTGTATTCTATTGACACTTCCTTTGAAAATTTTTTATTTTACTGATGGAATTAGCCATGTGCTATGTCATTTCTTTCTGTTTTGTCTGATGTTGATAGCCTTGTATGAGCTGGGTTGTTTGGTGAATAATTTACTTTATTTAATTAATTTATTAAAAATCTTATTTTGCCTAAGTTTGTTTAATGACTCATTTCTGAGTCATTAACTTAGGCAAAATAAGGCTACACTTGCATTTCTCAATGCCCCAATACCCTGAAATTTAGCAATACATTTTACTTTGTTTTTATTGTATTTTTGTGTTGTACAGTACTTATTTGAAATCTACAGTGTTATTTTTTACATCATTATTTATTTGATCTTAATTTTTACTCTACAACAGTTGTCTTCAACCTGTTTTGTCCCATGTACCCCTTTTATTATTACTAGATCATCCACCCTTTCTAAAATTAAAAAAATATATATATACATTTTTTAATGTGTTTTATAAATTCAACAACAAAAAGTTCAGTTGATAAATAACAAAACTTGAATAAAAGTAGTTTATGTTTATATTCTAAAACTAATTTCTTAATAGCTAAATAAAAGGTCTGGTTCAGAACCTCTGCTGTACAGTATTTTATTTCTTACTATTCTAGAAAGAATTAAAAGATTGAATTTTTACATAGTTTCTTCTATTTTACCATTAAATTTACCGCAGTTTTTAATTTATTATTTAGCACGTTTTAGTCGGATTTTTCAGTTTTTACAAGTGTATATATATATATATATATATATATATATATATATATATATATATATATATATAATATAAAAGATGCTAAGAAGCTTTCAAATATTTAAGTGGCATTTGTTTAGGTTAAAATTTTTATACATGAATTTTATATGTATATATATGAAATAAACGCGAAATTTAGACATGCTGATGTAGGAACACTGAGATGTAGAAAAGCAGAAAAATACTGATGATGAAGCATGTAGACGGCATATTGAAGAGGAAGCATTCTGATTTCACTGTATGCTAATAACAATTACGTTGACTTCATAATATATAAAAAACTTGGCAATTGAGGCAGTTTTAATTCCATTTCTATTTTCTAATTGACTTTTGTGGCCACAATTCACTTAGCACTTTAGTTGTGCCTATTCACAGAACATTTACCTTTTTGATATTATTGCGTTATGAAGATAGCCCGGCGAAATTACGTCCTAGCAAGGTAGAAAGCGAAGCTGAAGCGTGTAGTTATCCGATATGGAAGCACACGAAGAGAAAGATTTTGGTTTTAGTTAAAAGTTTCAGTTCCCAATTGTTACATTATCAGCACTGTACAGGCCATGCAAAATGGAATGATCTAGAAATTATGCAATTCAAAGAAGTTATTACGGTTTTTAGAACAGATAGGGAGAATTACAGGGAATTTGGGATTAGTTTAAATTATAATTTTGATTTATATATTTTTTGTCTTACATATATGCACACACAAAGAGAGAGAGAGATAAAAGTAGCAGATGATCCTTTTTGCCCATAAACCTTATAATCTCGCAGGAATGCATGCTTGCAGGACAGATAGCTGTTATATTCTATTGAATGGTAATTTAAAAACTGGCATTTTTTAATCCATGATTTACAGCAATGATATATAAATCACAACAAATTATTACTAAAAGGATATAATATTTAATGTATATTTTATTATTTTATGCAAAAAAAACTTATATTTATTCTCGAGCACAAAACAATACCTCAATATTGTTAATACTGTAAAATAAAAAAAAAAAAAATAAAAAATAAAAATAAAAAAAAAAAAACACTATTTAAAATTTTAATCAACAGGTGAGGAGCAACATATTTTGTGTAATGAATGAAATGATGGCAGTGAATGAAAATGGTTATTAATAAATAATTCAGTGTTATAATTCCATTTAAGATAAAATAATACCAATTTAAATAAACAATATAATCATAACATTTTTTGTACAAATGTAGTTCTGAATATTTTGGCACTTTCCCATTAGCAACCTCATCTCAGACAGTTTTTAAAGTTTGGTACCAAATAATCTGTTAACAATTGATTAATGTTAAGAATTTTCAAAACTGCATCTGACAACATGTGCTTTGCCTAATAACTATCTTTAAGAGTGTCTAACAGTTTAGCATTAAGGGCTTTCTTGAAGTAGTATTGCTAAAGAAAAAGCACCAAAATTGTTGCTCAAAATCATCAATATGAATAATAACATGGTATGCACTCTTATCTTTGCCACATTTTTTGCATTTTCATGCAGATGCATTTAAGCAAGTATAGTTGAAGCTATAGTATGACATAAAAGTAAAATTGCAAGCATGTATTATTAATCTGTTTTAAATTATTTGTATTTCTTATTCCCCACCCAAATTTGGCATAATAAAAAATTCTGTTAAAATAAATATATTAAATTAAGCATTTTAATATATTCAAGATCACAGAACTTTCATCATAATTTAAACAGTTTATCAAAAACCAATGCATATCATGCAATACTGCATGTAATTTTACACTATTTAACATACTGATGAAAAGTAAATACACTATGAATTATTAGTGTATATGGAGATACTCCACGTTGGATTTTAAAGAAATTACATTATTTATCTTTTCTGTTTCTTCGCTTCATAGATGCTGCACACTGAGGGCAAAACCATTTGCCTTTGGGTGGCTGAGTTATTCCAACACACTGGTAATGAAACCATTCAAAAGGACAATCTTTATGGTCACAAGCAACCATATCACCATATGACACTTGATTACATACACAATATCTTGGTTCATTAGGATCATAAGTCCAATCAGAAGTAACATTCTCTTCAATCACAGATGAATCTTCAGAATCATCCATCAGTTGTGGTGGTTCTGGAGGCGGAACTACTTGATTAGTACGTGCTTTTTTGTTTACTTTAGTTTTGGGCTCATTTGGAACAGTCACAGTATTTGCAATATTTGCTGGCACAGCTGCAACAGAATTAATTTCTCTGTTTCCTAAAGTTAGTTCTTTACCAAGATTTTGACCTGAATTCACTGCTTCATAACTGGCCTTCAAACTTGCAGTACGGCGACCCTGTGGAACTAGATTGGATTGACTTTGAGAACTGCCTCGTTTAAGTGACTGCTGAGTGGCAGCAATTGCCTGGGAAGCAGCTGCTGCAAGAGCATTTGTACCACCAAATGCACTTTTGGTTTGAGGTGTAAGCACTATAGTTCTTTCTTGAGCTGAGCCTGTAGAACTACTACTACTTGTTGAAGAAGAAGATGGAGAATGACCAGGGACAGACACTCTACTTCCACCAATTGTTTCCCTCATTGCTTCTGTGGCTATTGATGAGAATACTTTTTCTGTTCCTATCTGTTTCTCAGGTGTGTAAGTTATAGAAATATTTTGTTGTCCATGTTTTCTTTTCTCACCTCTTGGATAATTTGATGAAATAGAATTTGTTGTTGGAGGAGGATTATCAAGTTCAAGAGACCTTTTTTCTAGTATTTCTGTAATACCTGCATTATCTGCTTCTAGTTCCATTTTAAATTTTTGAAGTTCTTGGTCTAATCTTCGTAAGTATCTTTCAACTAATTCATATACTTGATTTGCTATGTGAACTTTTTCATCTGCATCTTCTAGTGCTTTATAATAGTCTTGCCTTATTTTTTCATATTCAGTATCTCTTTCAGAAACTTTCAATTTCTTTGCATTTGGAAAAAAGGTTTTTACTCTTTCATCCAAACTATCCATAGCATTGTGCACTTGTAAATCCATCTCTCTCATTTCTGTGAATCTGTCACATAATTCTTGTGGTAAATGTTCAATCATTTCTAAGTAGTCTTCAAGATATAACATTTTTAGGCAGTGCAGGAAATGACACAGATTATATAATGCCTTGATAAGATATTAAATGATCTGAAAAAAAATTATATATATAGAGAGAGATAGACAAAAATAAATTTAGAACAAAATCCACAAAGGCATGAAAGAAATTATTAATAATAATAAAATCAGAATTTCTCCATAAATACACAAAATGTTTTAAAATAAAAAAATTGTGATACTGCATATATAATTAAAGAATATATATATTAAAGACTTAAGAAATTTAGAACAAATTTTACACAAAGACCAAAAATTGAGATTCATAAGAAATAAATTGTAAAAAATCCTATAAATGTAAAAAATTTAATAAATGTTAAAACTACAATACTTGATACAAGAAAACCCTAATATATATATATATATATATATATATATATATATGTGTGTGTGGTGTGTGTTCTTTAGGAAAATTATTAATATTTCTAGCACAATAATCTAATTTTTTCAATAATTACTATAGCAGACTGGTTTTGCTTTAGATAAAAACATTAAATATCATAAGAAATATAAAGCTTTTAAATAGTAAGTTACAGTTGTAAGTCCAAGAAAATAAAATTATGACTCTTTATTGCTCTAAGTAGCAAGGAAAATGAAATTATATAACTTTTTTATGTACTAAGTAGTAGTAAACTATGAATGATCAATGTGCAACAGAATAATAAAACATGAATGTGTTTATCATTTGATAATTTCATCATGATAGAGTATGTGAAGTTTATATACCTAGAAAAGATGCTTTTATGAAATATTCTCCAAGAAACATTAGCTAGTATTAACAATATCAACTAAAGAAATTTTTGAGAATCTGAACTTTAAAAATAAATATTGCTATACAATGAATGAGTTATGAGCTAAAAAATCTTAGATCATTTTTAATTTATTTTTGAATCATTTAAGCTTATTAGTCATATTCATATTCATTTAGAGTAGGGGGTCTTCAACCTTTCACACCCGAGGGCCACATCAATAAATTCTACTGGTGGGAGATGGTAGTTACTTTAGTTTTAATGTGAAATTTGACATTGGTTTTGCTTGATTAAAGCTTCAATATCCAACCTAATCTGCACTGTTGCAATTCATAAAATTTCCTCCAAATATCTGTCTGTTAGTCATGTTCTTGATTTTAGGATTTTTTTCATTTTACTAAAAAGCTGTTCACATATGTAGGTACTGCTAAAGACAGAAGATGTGAAAAGTGCACGTTTATGAATTTCTGGATACTTGTTTTCGGTCACGTACTTCAAATAAAAATCAATTAATGTAGGATTTTCAAGAAACTTGCATTTTACTGCAGAGTCACACTATAAATCTATAAATTCTAATTGAAGTTCAGTTGTAACATGCATCACGTAAGATAAATTACATAAGATAAAGTGAAATTTTTGAAAAATTCATCATTTTCCAAAATTATCTCAAATAATATTAGGCATGTCAATAAAATGTTTTAAATATCAAGAATAAGAGAAAATAGTTTGTATACGACAAAAAGCTGACAAGGCAATTTTTCTTCAAATCAAAATTTCCTAAACTTCTTCAATTTTTCTTCAAACTCAAATGTGGGGCCACTAAAATGCCTTCAGCGGGCCACCCGTGCCCCGCAGGCCATGGGTTGAAGACCTCTAATTTAGAGTATTGCTTATATAACATTACATATGTTTACAATGAATTACTAATTTGATCATTAGTGCAAACAAAGTTTAAATACAGTACAAAATCCATAATCCGGACTCGTCTGGACTTTGGCGATTCCGGATTAGGGGTTTTTCCGTATTATAGATCATCAATTTAAATCTGGTAATCAATGTAAGTTGCTTAAGTTGCTTCATATTTTGTGCTAATACTTTCTTGTTCAGTTACAAAGTTCCACTGTTCAAGTCCTGTAATTGCTGTGTCGAGAATACCAACTAACTTGTCAATCGAAATTTTTTCGTTTTCAATAACGTTCTCTGTTACTTTCCTCACAATGGGAAGCGTGCATGGGTAAACGCTTTACTGGCTTTACATGCATGCATAAGTTTGTGGCTTTGAGGTCCGGACTATATATCATTCAGGATAAGGACGTCCGGATTAGAGACTTTGTACTGTATCTTCCTTCCATCAAATTCTTGGGAGGGGATGCAACTTTTAAATTTCTTGAAATCAAGTTTTTCCCTACACCAACAGTTCCAGGCATACATTTTCCTACAGTCTTTGAAATTTAATTGACACACTTTTCTTCCATTTATTGATATTACAACTGTTTGCATAATAAACATTACAAGTTTTAAGTAATTTTTTATTTATTACATAAACTTCTGCTTGAAATAAATTTTAATTTGTAGAATGAATTTAAAGTTAAGTGGTTAGCTAACAGGTATCTGATGTACAATTTACTAATTTAGTGCTAATAATAGTTTTCTAGAAATATAAAATACTTCTAATAAATTTATACACATGGAGATTAAATCATTTTCGTTTGATATAAAAAATAACATTTTTTTAATTGAGAAACCTCATTTATTAAGATATAATTAGATTTTTATGAAACACTATTGAGTTTTAATTAATACAGAACAAAAGTTATAAAAGTAAACCCATGTAAACTGTGAGTTGCATGACCATATTTATATTCAGTCATGGGATTTGTTGGCACTTACTATACACCATATTTACTTGCATCTTTTTTGACTCAATTTTTTACTGATTTTAGCTCTTGAGAATGGCAAAATATGTGGTGTATACTATTTCTAAAAGGAAGATTCAAATGAAGAATGTAGTTCATTAAAAAGCACAAATAGCTGTACTAATTTTACTGTATTCTTTATTTCAAAGAAGTCATTAATTTCATTATTATTATTATTTTTACTTGTATGATGACTTTTCCTTTCCTTTGCTACATGTTAATGCTGCTACCATAAATTAACGATTTCAAAATCAAACTGAAAAAGCTAAGAAAAATAATATGCGAGTAAATACTATATTATTTTTTATTATTAAAAACAAATTCTGAAATCAGTGACCTTAAGTCCTTTTTAAATAAGTGTGGTATAGAAAATATAATTTGCAATTCAAGGTACGTTTATACTTAATAATACACATCACATACAAAAGATATATAATGTACTGCCCTTAGTTTAAAAAAAGGGGGGGGGCAAATAACATAAAAATTAACATAAAATAAGTCATTCTTGTAACAAGATTTGTATTTTGGTTCTGCATTATCCACTAACAAAAAAAAAAGTAATTATAAATATTTAGCCAGACAGGAAAATTATACATTTTTTTTTAAAAAATGATCCTCTTAGTTTAAACTTTTAGAAGTTCTGATCTGTTATAAAAAATTATATCGATCAATGCAATTATTACTATTTCATTTACAAGGCCAAAAAAAGTTGTATAATTAGAAACAGTGTGACAAAATTACCTGTATGTGCTTAACGATAGATAGTCTTTCCTAGAGTTTGACTTATATACTTAAATACTGCCTTGTTCCATATGATGGTTAACAGAATCAGCCATCATATCACTAAGTCTGGGTTCGAATCCTTATGAAGGCATGGATGTTTGTAGTTATGTGTCACTTACTGATTACCCACCCCTCTTACTGATATTATATTGGCCGCTTTCTATGATGCATCGTGGGAACGTTCTTGGCGATCAGATGGCTAAATGACTAGCTAGCCTTTGGGAAGGGGCTTTGAAACTGACATTAAATAAATATGATGGAAATGATATTAAATGTTAGTATTATTAAAAACCGAAATCTAACTTTTCATGTCCTATAGTTTTTATAGATTCTCAGGTTCGTTCTATGGAGTGGTGCATGCTGAAATCACACTTCTTATAACTTTAATTGCTCAAAACTGAGAACCATTACTATGCACTCTTGCTGCAAATTAAAAATGCCAGATAAATAGAAAATATACATGCATAACCTCTTGTATGTTTACCTATGAAATGGCTTCATCAGTGTACAGAAAGTTTCCAATAGGATTTATGATAGTTGTAGGATTTTGTTATAAAGTTAACTTAAAACTAGAAAAAGTCTCAAGTAAGGCTAAAATTAATTCACTATACTGCCAGCAGAATATTTGAGAATCACTTCTGAAGAAGAAATTCCAGCCTTATGTGGTGAGGACATCAATAAAGTTGAGTTTCATATAAAAAAAGGCTTTAGTCACTGAACGGATTTCAGAAAAGAATCCAAAGGAAGTGGGATAAAATTGACATGGTCGTGCTAAGAAATTCTACTTTGATGGAAATTAAGACCTACAGCTATCATCAAGAATCAAGGCTATCAGATAGAAGCAGATCGCCGATGGAAATATGCTCTTTATGCATAAAAATTAATCATGAAAATCATTTCTAAAAAGTGCACTTGATACAAATAAAGTAAAAAATAATAGATGAATAAAAGTCCATGTATAACCTCTTGTATTTTTTGCTGAATGTTAATGTTTAATGTGTTTACAGTAAACATGCAATTCTCTATGCACATTAATTAGGACCTTAAAAGTATGAGAGTATAAAATGCTTGGTCTTCATTAATCTGTTGCAGACAATCATCCATCCATTTAGCTATACAACTCAAACTCGTTTCTTGTATGCAAAGGATCAATAAATAATACATATCAGTTATGTACTGAAATCATAATAGTATTAAGTTGACTGCAATTTATGATGATTTTGCTTATAATATAACTTGGTATTTTGAATGTATTTTTACAGAAGGGCGGGCAGTTATTGATCAGTCTCCTACATGTGAACTTGATATGCTACCAAAAAGTTGTTAATAATATAAATATCATACATTAAGATCATATTACGTAAATGTTTTCCAACTTTTTTTTTCAGGTGTTTGAACTGCAGATACAAGATAGACACAATTTCTTCAGAAAATCGTTTTATGGGAAAAGCATCATCATATATTCAAATCAATACAGTATTAATGTAATAAATATAAGCTACTGATAATATCTGAAAATTTAAATATGCTTATAAAGCTGGTATGTTAAAAACTATGCTAGTAAAGGACTTGTTTTTACATCAGTTAATCAGTACATATCCGTACATATATTATCTTTATAACTCATGTATATAAATAATTATAGTATTACTGATACTGAGTATAATTTTAACACATTACAACAAAAATATTAGTTTCAGTATAAAAACATCTTAAAAAAGGGGATAATTTTTAGGTTATAACATTACTACTTAAAACATTTATTTATATAAATTTTCACATCGCAATAAATCATTCCCATGAGATAAACTGAGAAGCATATTTAATACTATAATTACATGTTAAATACATTTTTATTTATAAATATATTATGATTGATAACAATCTTGCATTCTTATAGCATTTCAAGGAAGTGTACATTGTGTATATTTTTCCAAATATAAATTAATCCATGTATGAGCCTAAAAGTAAGATTTTGCAGCAAAAATTCAGATAGTAACAAAAACCCATGTATAAACCAAATTAAAATCACTATAAATCTAGCTGTACAATACAAAAGTGTGAATAACGGGTCAGGTTGCCTAACTTAGCTTAAAATAAGTAAAATGAATAAACAAGTCACTCAATTATTCAAAAGATAGAACAAACACCAACATCTGATTGTTAAAAAATAAAGTTAGCTTTGTTATGGATGGAACTGAACACGATATCTTCTATGTGGTGCAAGGCCTTTGATGTTGATAAGAATGAGAAACAGATGATATCCACCTGAACATGCTTCTAGCAGAGAAAACTTTCCAAGAATTGCTAAAAAATTTTTCAATCAAATACTGATACTGAAAAATCTGATTACTGTATACCAGAATTAAATTTTTTTTCAGGTTTTTAGCTTAAATCCATTTCTTCGTGATTGAATTCTTTGTAAATCATTATCAGCTCATATAGGCCAACAACACCTAAATTTCAGTAGCAAAAAATTTTCTAAAAATTCTCAGCTCATAAACAGATATATACAATATATATAGTTATAAAATGTTTATATACATGCAAATGAAAATAAAGTCTATATACATTAAAGTTTCTTGAAATCTGAATCATAAGATATGATTTTCTTCAAATGCTCATTTGTTTTATTAAAACTCTAATTATTAACAAAAATTTGAATTCTCTTTTTCAGTTTTATTTCAATTTCACATAATTTTTAATGACTTATTTTTCGGGGGGAGAAAGCTCCATTTAAAATTCAATTCTGTTTAGTTTGTTTATTAAATTTATGTGCTGTTCAGCTTGGTAGGTTGTAGCAGTGCCACTTGTCTCAAGAGTTCAGCCTAGGTGTTTGTAAATATAAAATGTTTTGCAACATGGGTATACTAATGACAAACTGAAATTTCCCCCAAGAAATTGGAGGTAAAAAAAAAAGAGTTAAGAGACCTTTAAGATCTGTCTCCTGGGATATTTTCCATCAAAACTGAAGTGAAGCTGGCAAACTCATAACTGTCCTTTATAAGGTGCTCTCTTCCCTCTTGGCCATGGTGAATTCATGGACCAAATTTGGATTATGTTCAGATTAGAAGGATTAGCAGTAATAACAACATATTTAGGAAAAGTATGGAAGGGCTATCGAATTTCATTCTCAGAAAATTCTTAAGAAAGAATCCATATGGTTTTATATTTAAACACAGATGCCAAATATGATAAAATATTTTTGTATGTGTTTCGTATTGGGTATAAAAAGTAAAATAAACGACTATCAGAATCTGCAGGGGCCTATTCCAGTTCAGATAACTGCACAAATAATGTAAAATTTATTCTATACTAACACTGTGAAATCTAAATAGACGCTCAAAACAATTATGACATTTTCAACTTTCCACTTCCTTAAATAAACATTTTTAAAATTGGAGCTGTATTAATTTTATTATTAATGAAAAACTTAATTCCTTTCCCCCAAAGATACTCTTTTGCATGCAGTCATTATTATATATTTCTTTGTATGAAAGTTTAATTGTATAAATTTTCATGCCACTTCACAACTGTTTCTAATCTTTTAAAAGCTTCACTTCGGATCTCCAATTTCTTCTTGGAATTCAAATACTTGATAGATTGGCATTATATTGTTTTTTCACCAGGGCTGTGGATTCGGAGTCATGGAGTCGGAATGGGAGTTGTGCAGATTTTGGGGTAAAAGGAGTCAGAGCTAGAGTTGCTAAAAACAAGTTGACTCCGACTTCAGTTTTTGTTGGACAGTTTTAATTTGGAATTAAAGTGAATTGGAAAAAAAAAAAAAAAATGACAAACTGAGTTATTATTTTTATTTAGGACTTATTACATTAATAAAAAATAGTTATTTTCTTTCTTATTGACATATTATAAATAATATAAGGGAGGAGGATGGATTGATATTTGCCATCAGTGATTGAAATGATTCTGTAATTATTTTTAGTTACAATCTGCTGGTAAATTTAGGTAAGCAGCAAGTACTCCAAAAATTGATGCCAATGCTTAGGAAGTAGGAGGAAAGGAAGAATATTGATCAAGCAACGTGATGAGGAAGTACATATTTGATAATATAGAGGTTGTTAGAATTAAGAACTTTTTATAAGATATAGATAACCCTAATGTTTAACTAACAGAAAGACTGTGGAATAATCTTTCATAATTGGAAACTCTTCTTTCTATACCATATATAACCATAAAAAAGCTACAATCTGAAGAATTAACAGGAGGCGTGAATGGAAGAATGTGATATTTGTTCTTTATGAATTTGAGGGTTAATTACAGAATGAATCATTTCTTCAATGAAGAAAAAAGAGATTAGTGTGCTAGACAATAAGATCTTGCTGGGTTCAATATATATAGATCCAAAACACCGAATTTTGTTGGATGACGAACAAATTAAGAAGACAATGATAGCCATCTATGAACCATCTATGAATAAGAATGAAATTATTTTCAGAACAATTAGAATATTCAAATCAGGACAGTCAAAACTGCAGACATTGCTACTGAGTCTCTATCATCGTCTTTCAGTGATGAATTAGATTTTGAGAAATATTTTTGGATATTTGAAAAGGGATAAGCAAAAAAAAAAAAAAGACAAAGCTAAAAGAAAAAAACAAGATTTCTACATGGCCTTTGAAGAATAGAAATAGGATGCTTTGAGATCTGTTTTTAACAAACTGAAGCTTTTCACTCAAATTGAATGGCTAAAAGTTCATAGGAATAAGTTCTTGAGTATCAGCATTGGTTCATAATCCCTTCTATTCGCGGCAATCTTTGCCCGACTAGAATGGCGGTTTGGCTTAACCTTTATACTCGAGTAAGACAACACTTCTATTACTATTTTATTATTATTTGTCATGACGGATTGGGTTGTTCCCTGAAACGTCAAGATTTCCGATCATGACATAATGCCTTTATTTTTCTTTTCAATGAATTTTTTCTTCATGATGATTTAACTCTAGTCCCGTTAAAACATTATTAACATTTTGCTTTCAAATTACTTCAAAACATCTTTCGAAATATAACTTACCAGTATGGATTCACTCTTTTAAAATAATTCTACTTTAATTAAACTTAGGAGATAATATAATCAATTAATCAATATTGTTTAGGAAATAAATTATTATTAACTAACTTTGCAGCAATTGCGCAAGTAATTGTAACTTCTTTTCGCACTTAATGAATTTAAGATCATACAACATTGGATATGCTAAATAGCAGCTATTAGCGCTATTTATCGCTTGCCTAATGTACCCACTTTATATATTACCACCATTCTTCTTTCTTAATATTTTAATTTTTAAGTTTTATAAAGTTCTTATACAAAAACTTTACTGTATTGAAGGTTAGCAGCCTCCTTACTTTTATATCTTGCTAGTTTATCTGAAATTGAAATCATTTAATGTCATTCCACTAGATGAAAAACTTGAAAATTTAACGCCATGCCTGCTACAGATAAACCCAAAAAAACAATTTTATGAAAAACATTTAACTGTATTTACATGATTACATGCGGCACTTGACATATAAAATATATAGGACAGACTAAAAACAATCTTAACTTTCGAATCAATAACCATAGAGCTTAAATCAAAACATTCAACGCACAAAAAAAAACATTAAAAAATAAGTACACCATCACAACTCAATACAGCAGAATTAGAGCACTTTAAACACCATGACTTCAACTCTATTCAACTTCAGATACTAGATATAATAAATCACAAACACGAATTTTTCAGGAATCTCTATATACTAAACAACGTTCACTTTATCCATATGGACTTAACACTTATATACATAGTCATAGAGATACTTCTAAGAAGTCTATTTTCAGCCAATTTAAGCACTACAGCAACAAAACGCAGAGAGGAATAAGAGGAAGCAAAATAAAAAATAATGCGAGATTTTTATCCACTTTGGATACATTTGCATTGAAAAAACAATTGAAATGTTTCTTTGACTCAGACAACTTTCCCAAGAAACTTCTCAACTGTTACACTCCTGTACTAATAAATTCCTTATCAAACTAAAAAAATTCATTCAATAAAGCTACGACGACATACAAATCATTAAAGACATGATTCTCGATTTTAGTTTTTTCGGACTCTCTAATAGTCTCACTCAACGCAAAATTTATTTTAAAGTCAATTTTCTACATCCGCAGTTTGACAATATTCATTTCTCAAGAATCATCAGAGATTGTAAAGATTACTTCCCCGCAGTTGATACATTACCTATGGTTGCATTTAAATATCAAAGGACCTTAAGCAACTTGCTGACTAACCACCATGAAATAGATGAAACAGCAGAATGACATTGTAAGACACCAATTTACAGCAATTACGTGGATTCTCATCACCAGCGCATAATTACTGGCAACCTGAATATCATACAAAACCATCAACTAAAAACACTAATGAGTTATGGTACAAAATTTAGACCAGTCAGAAACATGACTACAAATTTCTGTTACAAGACTTTCGAAAACAACATCAACAAAGTTTATAGTTAAAGCAAGCTAAGCTATCACTGAATTTACCCATAGATA